GCCGTAAAACACTTCAAAAACAGTAAATATATTATCAGTATATACACACTTTTAAGAACAAGGAGACATAAATGAAAATAATGTCTAATTTAAAAAGTTTAGGTGTTATGAACAGTACAACTAAAGCACCTGCTGAATATTCATCGGATTCTTTAAACTGGACTTAGATTGCATAGCCCTTTAAACAGAGGACACCATACAGAGGACTGTACTTTTTAAAGTATCGCTATCATTATACAAGTTTATAAACCACTTCACAGCATCAATGTGGCTTACATAGTGAAACCAGAACACAGACACCCAAGCTCTAACAATAAATCAATTCAACAAACTCTAAAACAATAACACCATCCTAAAAACTCTGAACACAATTAAACTATTTATCAGATATAAAATTGATGTTTTATAAATGGCTGGGTTACACCCCAGGGAAAACCTATTAAACAGGAATGTCTTCAAAAGATGATGTCTAAACACCATCATGCTAGGCACCCATCTGATTTCAACTGGAAACTGACTCCTGAGAGCTAGAGCTGAAGCACTAAAAGTAGGACAGATAGCCATTCTAAGCGAGGTTAGCTCCCTATAATCTTACACTGCTTACTAGTGTCACACTATGGCCCACAAACCTCTTTCTGGGTGTTCCTGTAGGCATTTCCAATGCAGATTTCTTTGTAATTGGGTATGGAAGTGGAATAACACAATGTATGCTGTCTATAACTAGAATAAGGATAGATGCATATGCAATTTTAAAGTTACTTTAAAATACAAGAGAGTAGGGATCCAATTGCTGCCCATATATATATCATATATATTTTTTTAAGTGGAAAGCTGCCAAAAAATAAAGCACACATGTGCTTTGTGTTCTTGATAGACATCACATGTATGTCTCTAACTATTATTGGTACCTCAGTAGGGGGGGAAAAGCCTGTCAGATACAGCTCTCAGAGGCCATGTGATGTCCACACTAATGGAGAAAAGACTATAGAAAGTATAGTGAGTTTTTTCAAAACAAAACAAAACATTCCTATTCCATTCTCTGTGGCCCCCACCAATCCAGAGAGCCCCACTTCCTTTCATTACTTCAGCAAGTGTATGGCTCTTCAGGGTGTCCCCATTTCAGGATGTTTTTGCCCTCCATCTAGAAGTCCTTCCCTTTCTCATGTTCAAGAAAGCCCTGGCAGAGACTGTTAAAAACTATATATGCAGGAAGGGCGGGGGGCAGACAAGGCCAAAGCCAGAACTCAGTTAAATCAACTTCTGTCCCTCACCTTAACTCCATTAGCAATGGAAGGGAAAGAAAGGAAACAGAAAGCAAAGTCTACAGCTCAGAGGCTGAGAAAGAGAAGAAAGGAAACAGAAAGTGTATCCCACGAGCTGTCCAACTGCTGGCTCTGTTTTTATGTTAGTAACCAAACTTACTCATTGTGACACAATTACTGCAGCAGACAGCCTGCTGACCTAATAAGTCTAAGGCTGTGGAGGAGCTTCAGAGGCTACCAGTAACAAAAAGACCGGGCAATTATGAAGACTTAAACATCTTCCACTCATCTGCCCACTGCAACCTACAACGTTGGGTGCCTTGTACTCCATGGGCTGCCAATTCCAGGAATATGTAGCGTGACAAAGAATGCTGTTCCATATTAATCCAGAGGACCATAAAGCACCACTACTCTACCTAAAGAGCTGGTTTAAGAAAAAGAAGCCCAGAGCTCCCAAAGCCAGCTAATGGGATGGAGTTTTTATATTCTGCCATCAGGTATGGTTTGAAAACTATTCCCGGTCTCCAAACGTACATAGTGGTATCCTTACTTTTGCATCAAACGCTTCAGGGTTCTCAATCTGGGACCTGGCGACACAACACAAAATGTTCCTCAGCACAGGATGGTTTTATGGGGGAAATCCAAACCACCATTACTATTAATTTCTGTATATATAAGACTTCACCTGGGTTAGAATATACAAAGTTACCTATTAGTCAGGCCACCCCACCATCTAGAACTAGATATTACAATTGAGTAAAATCTCTCAGGGTTTTATCCAGCCCTAGTAAAATCCCTTGAGCTTTAGACACTGAGAAATAAACCTAAGACTTATCTCTCTCACACAACCCTACAGAGCTATTTAGGTCCCATCTCTCCTAGTGGCAGCTTCCTCCGGGCCTCCATTTAACCGACTGTAAAATGGGTGCAGTCCTATTTCGCAGGGAAGTTTTAAGGGCAAGCCCCATAAAGGCCCTTAATGACTCTGCAAATCAGGAAGTGATTCACACATGAGCAGGAGAAAAGCACAGGGTTGTTGTCATCAGTGCATGGGGGGGGGGGGGAAGGAACATTTTTTTGCAAGTTAAACATTCGCCGATGGAATATGGCTTTGAATCCTAATACTCGGCATATACGATTCTGGATCTAGTCACCCCATAGAAGTAATTTGGGGCAGGCGATATTTGAGACTTAAAAGACTGCACAGAACTAAGGGATGGGTTGGGCTGGCGAGGATGGTTGGGTGGGAAGACGCATAACTTGGCTAAAGACAAACGGAGGGGGGGGACACCCCTTTATGGGGCAAGGCAGGAGGGCACTATAGCCCTGTAGATCCCCAGCCCAGGATCCCTAGCCCTCTCTGACTGCCTTCCCTGGAAACTGAGGCCTTGCCAGGGCTTTCGCCGCCCGCCGCCAGTACCTGCTGCTTCCAGTAACTCCAGCGCCCGGCCGTAGAGGGCGGCCGCCTGGCTGTATTGCCCGTTGCGGAACTGCTCGTTGCCCGCCTGCCGCAGGTCAGCGATCCGCGACGCAGGAGCCATGAAGCCGGCCGCGGGGTGCGAGGAAGCCGGCGCCGGCACTCGTAAAGGAAAGCAGCCGGGGCTGCAGCTTCCTCCTCCCTCTGCGCTCGATTCAGCAAGGGGGCGGGCGCCGTCCGCCAGAGGCTCCTCCTTTTCCCTCCAGGGGCGCCTGGGCAGGGCGAGAAGCGCAGGCTGCTCTCCGTGCCCGAAAGTTAGGCGAGGGGGCGGGACGCAGCCCCCTTTAGCACATGTTCGCTTTCTCGGGAGGAAGCCCCGACTGAGTCCGCTGCGAATTGCTTCTAAGTTTGCGTGGGAGGAAGCTGCGTCGAACTCAGTGGGACTTACTTCAGAGTAAGCGCGCCTCGGAGGCTCCGGCTGCAAGCGCCTTCCTTCCCCCGGTAATGGCATAGGATCGGTCTGCTTTCGTTCACTGCGTCCCCCCCCCCTTCCAAGATGAAGATCGGTCAAATGACCTTTCAGTTTGGAAGCGGCAAAATCCAACAAGCCCAGTTGCGCTATGGGGCTACAATCTTGCGCACGTTCACTAGTTGGGAGCAAGTCACTAAAAGGGCTTGGGAAGGAGGAGATTCATACGAGGCAAAGCCTTGCAGTCCTGTCCGCGTTTGTGAGCAAATTCTATTTAACGCAGGGGGCCTTTTTATTTTCACACGAGATGATGGCTGCTAGTTAACAGAAGTTTATGCCGCGATCAATCTTGTTCTCTTGAGTAAAGGCAGCCCAAGTCCTTCGCATGTTTACTGAGGAATCAATCCCAAAGTAAACGGGCCTTCCTAGAAAGTGGCTTTAGGATGGCAGTCGTGCTGTACAATCTTAAAGTTAAGTCCTACTGTGTAGTGATTTGAGAGCAGGACCCGGGAGACTCCAACAAATCCTTCCAGTCCTTAAGTTCATTTTATTGCATTTCTTTACTGCCCTTCATTTGGGGATCACTGGACAGTTTACAATATAAAAACACAAAAATGTGTAACAGTAACAAACAAAAACAAAATCACACACACACACACAGTTTAAAAGGCCATAGGTTGCTCAAATAGCCTGGGAGAAGAGGAATGTTTTTTGCCTGACATATGGGTGATGCTGTGCCTGTCCCATTTCTCTAGTTCAACCTATGTTGTTGCAAAAATACAATGGAACCAGATACTGACCTGGTGACTCCTTTGAGTAAATGCAAGGAGCAAGTGTAATGATCATAAATATGACCTGCACCCAGGTGAAGATAGGATAAGTGTATTAAGACACAATCCTTTTAAAAAAAAGTATACAAGCGTCTACTCAAAAGTGAGCACAGATTGGATTGCTGTGGATTGCAGTGTGGAAAAGATACAAGTATAGAATGTCTTTAATATGAAGCACATTTAGAAATTACAGGGGAAATCATGCAGGCAAAGTCAAATGTGAAATTAATGTATATCTGGAAAATAAGTATTAATTTGTAAACTTTTGAAACTCAGAAAAAATCTATAAAAAACGAGTGGGTGGAGCTCCAACAGCCTTATCCCCAGGTAAGGGTGCAAAAGAATTGTATCCTGTCTTTACAGCATTACAGGACTATTTTAGGCAGGTGCTGAAGATGTACCCTTTAGCACCTGAGATATATAGTAAGACAAGCCCTATTCCCCTGCATGTAATGTTTTAACTGTTTTTAATGGCTGTATATTTAAATTGGCTTTTGACCTCCCCCACACAGTGGCAGGTAAGGAAACAAATTACAACATGATGATGACGTTGGGCCTGAAACGCTGCTAATTTTCTCTCATTTTGGGCAGCCATTTTGCAGCAGCATCTTATTTACAGAAGCCCCGCTTTGTTCAACGGGGCTTGCTTACTCCTTAGCTAGATTTAACTTCAGAAAGCACCTCAACGTTTTATTTATTGTGGCCTATAACCCTTCCTTCAGAGGCATAAAGAAAAACGCATCGTGATTCTTTATTGGCTTCTGAGGAAACGCGGGGTGGGGGGGAGTCGGGGAGCAGCAGCGCAGCGAGGAGCGACATAGCCACGCCCACCGTGATTGATTTATTTTTTTAAACAAACCCCCTGGGGGCAACTGCCGCCAAGACCTGCGAAACCACGTGGCCTGGTGTCGCGCGGCCCCCTTTCTCCCTGCCCCGCCCCCTGCTGGTTTCCGGCTGGTGCTTGCCAGCGGGGAGGGCGGGGTTCTGAGGAGGAGGAGGCGGCGGCGGCGGCAGCTGCGAGGCGGAAGTGCCTTTGGCGCTGGGGAGGCGGGGCCGAAGGGACTCAGCGCGAGCGGGCAGAGCAGAAGGAAGGCGGCGGAGATGGAGCGGCCGTGAGGAGGGGGAAAGCGCGCGCGCCCACCCTCGCCCACCCCGGACAGGCGGCGGCGGCTCTCGTCAGGCGGCCATGGAGACTGTGCAGCTGCGCCACCCGCGCCGGTGAGAAGCCAGAGGGGAAGAGATGCGCGGGGATGGTCAGGGTGGCGAAAGGGCTCTTGCGCTGTCTGAGGGGGTGGGAGGAGGCGACCTGGGTGCATGTAGGTTACGGAGGCGGGTCGGTGCACTTCTCTTCCTCTTAGGCCCTTTCCCGCCCCCCCTTCTCTTCCTCCGCTTCCTCCCGGGAAACGCGCTCCTTCTTCGTCTTAAACCTCCCTCCTCGCATCTTCCGTCGGAGTTCGCGCGCATGACCCAGAGTTGGCTAAATGCAACGGGAGTTGTGCAAAAAAGCAATGAAATAAATAGCCGCCCATAGGCAAAACCAAAGCCTTTTTGGGGAACTGCCTGTGTCCTAAAGTTCTCTGCTTAAACTGGGATTCCAAAGTGATGTAGGTGGTTGGGACTCACTCCGCTTCCTATTTTTCAGGATGCTTTTACATTTCTTTTGCAATTGCTCGCCTGCTGTAGGAACTGGAAATGTGGCCCCTGAAGAAATGAACAGTTTGGAAATGAATGTTTTGGTTTGAGGTCTTCAGCTGTTGACTTAAGACCAGGACTCGCCTTTAACCCCAACCTTCAAAATGCAGCCAGTTTATAATCTCATTTATTTATGCTGCTATATGGGTGACTGCTCCCCTTTTCTTCTGTAATTGTGCTCTGTTTCTTTCTCTTAAAGCCCAAGCATAAAACAAAGTGGATTATATTAGCAGTGTGACAAACCTTAGATCTGGGCAGGTAAACATGTGAAGATGTCATCCTGAGTCAGATGCTGATATGTCTTTTCCAAGTATTTTCTACTCTGGTAGCAGCTTTCAAAGCTCTTGTGTGTGGGGTGTGTGTGTGTGTTCCCAGCTGTCTGAGATGCCAGGGATTCATCCTGGGACCTTGTGCATGCAGAGCCTGCAGTCTTCCATGAACCTAAAAACCATCCTTGAGTAGTGGAGCTTTGCATTGTTTTTACTGAATTATTTCATGTTACATACAACCTACATGAAAATAAGGTGTAAGCCAACTCAAACATGCAAACATCTGACTGCACGTAGGAAGTGTGTGTTCAACAGCCCCAAATAGGAAGTGCTGGCCTCTTTTTGCAAATGCTTATTGCTCATTTGATGAGCATGGCGAACAGAAGTGAACAAGGAAGTCTGGTGCATAATGAGAAGTTCTAGATGACAAAACTCTTAAGATCCTTGATTAACCATGACCATAGAACAGAATTGAAACAAGGATGAATATGGTTAGAGACTAATACTTCAAGAATAACCTTCTGTCATTTATTAGTCAAAGATGGCTGAACTGTTAACAATGCTCCCAAAGTGTTGTTAGGCTTTGGTCGCAGTACTGACTGAAAATACAGCTCACTATATTTTATGTTCTATCAGCTGGCAGAAAGCTGTCACTACAGAAAGCAGAATAGCATGTTGATCTGTGGAAATAAAATTAAAGAAAGATAGATAAATATGCTCTCACTTCCTTAGGCTGTTTTGGATTAAACATAGTTCTGTGAATTTCATCACAGGGTTCATAAGCAGTACGTTCCGGAATGATGTCTTAATACAAAATTTGGTTTTTAAATGTCTTTCTGGGTTGAGGAATTTAAGGAAGTTAAACTAGATCATTCAAAGAACAAATGACTCGACTCCTCACACCCCACAGGCCTAGAAAGGCATGCGTGTTGCCTGTCAGTTTTTAAAAGTAAAACTCCTGTTATTTATAACATAATGTGTACAATTTTATTTTTTCTCACAGTTATGTTGTTGCTGGTAGAAATGGATTGCTGTTAAAGAAGTACATTTTACTTCATTTAATTGTGATGTTTCCTAGGGTGGGTCCACATGTGTATTCAATGTGATAATGTCAGTGGCCTTATCATAACTTCCCCCACTCTCCCCAGGCTCATGCTTATTCAAATAGTAATGCCTGATAACATGCTTTGTGGTTGCTTTTCGGTTGTATGTGTTGGGCTGTAATCATTTAGCATTAGGAAAAGAGTCTCTCTCCCCCCTCACCCAAATGTTGCCTTCTTCCCTCTCCAACATAGTCCCAAGGAGATTAGAAACTCCTGTTTCCATTTTTTAACTGCCATTCAGTGTTATGTCTGAACCCTAAACTTTGGTTAATTTTAACTATGGTTCGTGAAAACAAGCCATATTCTTGAACTGTGGTTTGAAGTTTACTTGTTCCCACTAATCATTACAGTGGTACCTCGGTTTATGAACAGTCCTGTTTACGAACTGTTCCGGTTTGCGAACTTTATCTTGGTCTACAGACGGAAGCCGAACTGTGGAAGGGCACTGGCGGCGGGAGGTCTCATTAGGGAAAGCGCGCCTCGGTTTAAGAACAGACTTCAGGAATGGATTAAGTTTGTAAACCGAGGTACCACTGTATTACACATTGGTTTAGCCAGAAGTTTGAGAAGCAGTCCTCAGAATGTACCGTATTTTTCGCTCTATAAGACGCACCAGACCACAAGACGCACCTAGTTTTTGGAGGAGGAAAACAAGAAAAAATATATTCTGAATCTCAGAAGCCAGAACAGCAAGAGAGATCGCTGCACAGTGAAAGCAGCAATCCCTCTTGCTTTTCTGGCTTCTGAGATAGCTGCACAGCCTGCATTCGCTCCATAAGACGCACACACATATCTCCTTACTTTTTAGGAGGGAAAAAGTGAGTCTTATATAGCAAAAAATACGGTAGCTAAAAGATGGCACAAGACAAAACAGCAAGCTGTGATTAATCTAAAACAAGAGGGAAAGCCTCTGAAGTTGTCCTCGTAGCTCCACCAGAAAGGGGACCATGCAGATCCGGGGAAAACAAGGCACTCATAAACTATGGTTTATGGTTGCATTTGGGCCAGCTCTATGTTTCTCCTTTGGACACAAGTATGATAATAAAGGAGACACTAACATTTTGGCTAAGAGGCCAGTTACAGTTTGGGATTTTTGTCTTGTCGTTTCAGCACAGGCTGTAAGTGAACTGTCTCAGGTTAAGAAAACCCCACAGAGCACCTTACAGAAGTATCTGGTTCATGCAGGCATGCAATTGCTTTTTTCTTTTTTGGATGGCCCATTTACATGATGAGCAAGAGAGACTGTTTCCTTTGTTTTGTGGTGTAGAGAGCACTTTTACCCCTTTCTAATTTCCACTTCCCACACGTTATGCTTCTGCTGATGGTAATATGTAGGTTTCCTTTATTCTTAACTAGAACTTTTTTGTGGTGACCAAATTAAAGAAATCCACACTGAATATTTATTCTTGTACCAATATAGGTTGCTAATAACATAACTGAAATAGTGAGTATCGTTGGTACAGTTAATCAACTTGCTGCTTCTGGCTTCATTTTTATATGTGCTTTGCCAAGTTCAGATGTTGCTAACGGGTTATAATGATTAAATGGAAGTGCAACCACTTTAAGTAGGGTTCAGTTTTTTACAGCAAGGTTGGTTGTTCCATGAACGTGGTGCGTATGAATGGGAGAGAGTGGCTTACTTGTGTGCAGTATTTAAAAACTTAAAAACTGTGTCTGTCTATTAAAGTTGCTAATATGGTTGTTCGCTTAAATAGTTGGCTTTCGAAGTTAGTATGTCACTTCCTTCTCTCTTCTTACTTATGTCTCAGTATTCCACCAGTATTTCAACGAAGTAAATAACCAACCCTACTTCTAAGATTGTGCCTTAACATGAAACTGGCTTCTAAACTTGGATTAGTACTTGCCTGGGATATTAGTACACAATGTACTAATACATTTTTCATCAGTATTAACTAGAAATCATGACCTAGGCATATTTGTTGACATCTGTTTCAAACAAGAGCAGGTTCTGTGGTCTTAATGCTTATCGCTGAATCTAGTTCTGGTATTTCACCATTTCCTGGGTTGAAATCTTAGTCATGTTTCTTCATTTTAGAAAGTCGTTGTGTATTTCACATATGTGCTTTTCTATTTATGTATTCAGAACATAATACAGAAAGGCATTTGTTTTGGGTTTTCAGAAACATGTGGACTTCTCAGGACTCGCTACTACTAATTTTGCACTTTTGGTAAAAGGCCGCCTCTGAAATGTGAAAAGTATAACTCACATTTTCTTTCGGTTTGGTTAAAAAAATGTATCTGTTGTAGGTCCCCATGTGTGTTTAGCACTTCTAATATATAGCTCCATTCTTTACTTATAAGTAACTTTTATTAATAAACATAGAACATCTTCTGAAAGTGAACAATAAACATTTCAGCATGTTCCTATTTTTAAAAATTAAAAAAAAACTTTTTAAAAAAGCATTGTTCTCTGAAAGGTGCAATGCAACAGAAAATATGGGCGATTATGAGAGGAAATGGATTGTGTGTGCATTACCCCTTGTGCTTCTATAGGCTCCTTAAAAAGCCACTGCAACAACACTGATTCAGTGGTGCTATAGGGCTGGTATCACTTCCAAAGCCTTCGTGGCTCAAAGCTTTGAATGCCTCTTTTCTCCTTGCTCTTAAACTTCTTTGCATTGTTTTTGTACCATGTAGGCCAATGTAGTGCCTTCCAGATGTTGTTGGACTCCCAGCTTGATCCTGTCCATTGGCTATGCTGGCTGGGTAGATGGCATTTGGAGTCTAATAACATCTGGAGGGCATTGCATTGGCTACCCTTGATATAGGGGCTTTCCCTCAGTATGGGTAGAAGAGTGCTATTTGCGCTGTTAAAGAATTATGATGACTGATAAGGCTGATTGAACACTGTCTCCTACATGTATGAAAGCCTCCTCTGATATTTGCATAGCACAACTGAAATTTTCTTTCCTTTACCACAGGCAGCTAAGGAAATTAGATGAAGATAGTCTGACAAAACAACCCGAAGAAGTGTTCGATGTGCTAGAAAAACTCGGAGAAGGGTAAGTGCAGGTAACAAAAAGTGCAAGTAATGCACTGAGACATGCAGGTGCTGGTTCTTATGTGTGCCACAAGCTTCAAAACAGCTTGTTGTTCATTGCACTGCTTATACAAATCAAGAAGTGACAGTGTTCTGTAGATGGCTTATTCAGTGGTTACTATGTGTAATGTTTATTAATTTTAAAATTGGGATTTAAGAGCCCACCTGTCTCTTGCCATAATGCTTTATACATTGTATATTCACCTGCATCCTGTAAATCCTGCAAGTGATTGCCAGTGGTTATGTACCCATCACAACCCTTGATTGCTGAACAACTTAGCAAGGCTGGTACCATATTAATCTTTATGCAAGTTCTTCATGCAGTGTTGAGTGCTTGAGTGTGGGGGGCACTTTAGCATATGATTCAGTGTCTTTCCTTTCTGTATCACCTCTTACAGTGTTCAAAGCCTGTATTTCTTGTTACAGGTCCTATGGCAGCGTTTTCAAAGCTATCCATAAAGAAACGGGCCAGGTTGTTGCAATTAAGCAAGTTCCTGTTGAATCTGACTTGCAGGAGATCATTAAAGAGATATCCATAATGCAACAATGTGATAGGTAAGTGCAACTGATCCGTATTTTCACTCACCGGTGGTGAGAGTCGCTCCCATCTATCATGAGTGCCCTCAGACTTCCAGCAAAAACAGCATGCAGGAAATACATTTTACATGGTAGAGTAAGAAAAGAGGAGTGCAGTTCAGCCTTAATGTGGTTTAAATAAATCTATCAAAAGCTTTACTTGGAAAATGTTTCTATTGAAATGCTTGTATTTTTAAGGCACGACAGCTCAAGAGCAGATGCCTCTTGCATTAAATTTAAAACTAATGGCCCTGAAAACTATTATCATACTGATTCTTTGCTATTGAAAAGATCCACCCTCATGTCAGTGCCTCTGGGGTCATTTTAAAGGATTATTGAGAATATATGGAGCATGCTCTTGAAATATGCCATATGACTACCGTATTTTTTGCTCTATAAGACTCACTATTTTCCTCCTAAAAAGTAAGGGGAAATGTGTGTGCGTCTTATGGAGCGAATGCAGGCTGCGCAGCTATCCCAGAAGCCAGAACAGCAAGAGGGATTGCTGCTTTCACTGGGCAGCGATCACTCTTGCTGTTCTGGCTTCTGAGATTCAGAATATTTTTTTTCTTGTTTTCCTCCTCCAAAAACTAGGTGCGTCTTGTGGTCTGGTGTGTCTTATAGAGCGAAAAAGACGGTATAAAGTAGTATGTGCTATATAGAAAGTAATATAAATATAAATGATAAAATGTGCTGCATATTAAGTAAAATGTCACTCCACTGTAAGAGACATATGGTTCTGAAAACCAGTTGCTGGGAATCACAAGTGGAAAGATTGCTATTTCACTCAGTTTCTGCTTGTGAGCTTCTCATACGTATCTGGTTGGTGGCTGTGAGAATAGGATGCTGGACTAGATGGGCCAGTGACTTGATGCCATAGGGATTTCCTTACATTTCATGCTGGTACAGTAGAACATTGCAGAGTTTGGCTGTTACCCCTAACTAATGGCTGTTACCATTGTTCTGGTAATGTCACTCATATAATCGTTAGCTCTGGCAATGTCGGGTACTGCTTCAAACAAAGGATATAGCTCTTCTTGCATTAGTTTATTTACTTTTTAGTAGAGTATTGCCCATTAAGCTATTGGGCAGCCACTGCAGACCAAATAAATCAAGCTCTTTCACTCTATCCAGTTAAATATCACTATGCACACTTCCGGCAGATGAATGAAAAGATTTCCTTTTTCCAAGTTTGTGCTTTTAATAGGACCCCACAATATTGTACTAAGCCTGATTTTCATTTTTGTAAATGCAAAATGTGTACTTCAGTGACACATCTTAATTTTTATTAGTCCTCATGTAGTCAAATACTATGGCAGCTATTTTAAGAACACGGACCTCTGGATTGTCATGGAATATTGCGGTGCCGGATCTGTGTCTGATATTATTCGACTGCGAAATAAAACGGTAGGTGTTCTTCAACATCTTCATAAATGTGTGATGTTCTGCAGACAAAAGCATCAAGTGCTAATAGGACATTTTAATGTCTAGTGTTGAACTTGGCATTTTTTCTGTTATACTTTTGGTGCCTATTCAGGATGTTCCTCTTTTGAAGCAAGCTTTCTAAGTAGAGGTTTTTATCTCAGCTGGTATCTGTTGGATTTGAATTGATTATATATATGGTGATGGTTGGTGTGTGTGTACACAAATGATTTAGCTGTTTTTATATACACATTTGTCTTGTGTATAGTGTTTGCTGTGTTGTAAATTGCTTTGGGATGAGGTGCATCAGGAATGTTCTCGATATATGAAATGAAATTAAGTAAATAGCATTGTATTTAAATCCTTTTGGTAATTAGCTTGATGTTTTCTTTGAGTGTCATAAGATGTTAAAGTACATAGTGTATTCCTTCTCCTTGTTCCTATTGAGATGGTAACAGCAGCCTGTCCATGGCCTCTCTACTGCCTCTTTCATGCCCCCAGGGTGTATACACCTTCTCAAGAAAGCGTTGCCTTTGAAGTTTTATTTGGCTGTGCGTATGCATGGTGGCTCTTGATTGTATTAGGAGGCAGCAGGATATGTCAGTTCTTAGTTCATCATCCAAACCTTTTATTGGCATCACATACAACATCCAAACAAATCAGTACAGAATTACTACTTCCCCAGTGGCACAAAACATTTGCTAAAAGAAAGGAGGCAGAGCAGTCTACAGTTCTTAGTTACTTTAGAGCAGGAAAGAAGAACCTGTGATCCTCCAGGTGTTGTCAGACTCCCAAATCCCACTTTCTCGCTGTCCATTTTGTGTAGCAAACAATAATGATGGAGTTTTGATGAGATCATCATAAGTGTACAGGGAGTGTCGATAGGGGCCTACAAAATGCAGTTTGGTGTGTGTGTGTGTGTGTGTGTGTGTATATGAGAATGATAATTATTGTATATTTATTATCAGTCAGTTTTACAAGGAAAGGGACAAGTTTTAGATGCCAGTTCTCTCACTGAGTCCCAAATTACTTTGCGTAAATAATAGTTGGAGTAGTAAGGTGGGTGGCACATTTGTATATTTATAATGGACACTGACAGTCTCTCTTAGCAATAGTTAGTTGCTGGTATCGGTTAATATAGTTCATTTCTTCCTTCAGTTGATGGAAGATGAAATCGCTACAATAATACAATCAACACTCAAAGGGCTGGAATACCTCCATTTCATGAGGAAAATACACCGTGACATCAAAGCTGGCAATATACTACTCAATACAGAAGGGCATGCTAAACTTGCGGATTTTGGGGTAGCAGGCCAACTCACAGTGAGTAATAAAAGTTGTCTATACACGTTTTACCACCTGTGTTTCAGTATCTCGTTTCTTTGAGCTGGTGCACGTTAGCTGGCAGCCCCCACCACATACGCCTTGGGAGGAATAGGCTGAGCTACTACTTGAATGGTCTGTTTTGAAGCTGCTGCTACTATTGTTTACACAGATGCTGTGACTTATTCAGCCCTCGCAAGATGCTGGTCCTCCTTCAGTCTGCATGTTTTGCTCTGTGATCCTGAGGGACTTGCATGGGGGCCATCAGCTAATATGGTGTAGCCATGGTGAAACTTACATTCTGTAATGTAGAAGTAACGTCTATTTTTCATGAAACATAATAGCTATGTTGGGGATTAGATTTCATTTGATTGCTACCGTTCTAACACATTTTAGATATGGAGAGCATGTTCTCTGGATAACCTTTCCGACAGTTGTTTCCAATCTGATGCCCGCCAGATATTGTGGACTACAAACTCACCTCAGCCTTAGCCAACACAGACTGATGGGAGTTGTAATACAAAAGGTCTGAAGGGCATCAGATTAGTAAAGGCTGTTTCATTAAGTTTGTTTTTTTTTAATTGCTGCACTTCATTTTATGACTGGGTTCCCTTTCTTTTGTTAGGACACCATGGCAAAAAGGAACACTGTGATAGGAACTCCTTTTTGGATGGCACCTGAAGTGATTCAAGAAATCGGATACAATTGTCTAGCAGACATCTGGTCTCTGGGCATTACTGCCATTGAAATGGCGGAAGGAAAACCACCATATGCCGATATTCACCCGATGAGAGTAAGTGTTGGGTAACTGAACTTAACTGTGCAATCTCAACCATGTCTACCCACAAGTCCTGTTTTAATTCAATGGGCATGTGAGAATCCAAATTCTTAGATATGCCATTGCATGATCTTATGAGTGCCCTGTCATGTGTTGAGGGGGTGGGGCAGCAGGGTTGCACATTGCTACTTTTGCATTCAACAGGTGTTGTGAGGGGCCCTACATGGAGAATGTGAACATCAGTGGGGGAGGGCCTAGCCCATGTGGCCCTGTAACCATGTCACACGTTATTTTAATGTATAGAGGAGGTTGTCTCAACGCATCAACTGTTTGACCTTGCAGCACCAAACTAGCCTGTCCTCTTAACATCAATTTCATAATGGGTGAAGGGAAACTCCCCAAAGGAAAGGATAGTATAGTGATCTTGTATCAACAGATTGCCTAACCAGATGCCAGCTTGCACAAACCTGTCTTTCCTTCAACCCCCCCCCCCCGAAAAAGCCTCTGCTCAGAGTCCGGGAGGAACTTCTGAACATTGCAGGTTTTGTCATACAGGTGCCTGCAGTTGGGGGTGAGAGGGTTGCCTGAAATTGGATGGAAGAACCTTACATGAGTGGAGCTCCACCACTGCAAGATCTCCTGCTTGATTTCAGCTGATCCCTCCTTCCCACTGCAGCTCTATACAACAGTGTTCAGTAAGCTTCACATAGAAACACTCACACACACTTCATGCCTTCTGAGACAGCATGGGTACATTGATTTTTTTATACACTGGGATTGCCGGAGAATGGAGGCTTTTAACTGCCCCCATCCCAACACAACCAAAGTCACTAAGCTGATAAGTCTTTTCCCTGCCACCCAACTGATGGCTAATCAGCTGAGCAATTGAGGAAAGTGGACAGGGCTTCCTGGGGTTTAGGGGACTGCAAGGAAAGTTGCCAAAGGCTGTATGTAGTCTGGTTGTTCCATGAGAACAGCAGCATTTTGATTCTGAACCCAGCTTATGCAGAGTATAGTTTGAATACAATTGCAGTTAGCAGGCTTGAAAGATATGCTCTTATCCTCTGAATATAAAAAGCATATAAGAAACACTGGTAGGTCCTCTGGGGTAGAGAATTATGATGGAGGTGGGCACTTCTCAGGGTTCCAGTTTCTGGCTTGGGGTCATCATTAGCCATCCCCTGTGCAACACCGTCGAGAGCTTTGGTCCTTCAGACCCTTGCAAAATCTTTCTCAGTGTGGTCATTGTTTGATTTATACTTCTTTTATGATCATGGTATCTCCCCTGCCAGGTAAGTAGGGGAGAAAGAGGCGGTGGGAAAGAGGCGGTGGATGAAGACTGGAACAAATTTAAAGTTTATCTTAAAAACTGTTGTAATCTGGAAAATTAGAGGATCAGGGTAATAAGAGATAAAGAACTACAGTTGCTTTAATATCTTATGGAAGTTAAATTTACGAAATAGAAATAAGTTTAATACGAAAGGGTTGCTGAAAAATCTTGAAACAAGAATGCAGAAAAGGGGTGGTACGGGGAAGTCGTTTTTGTCTTTATCTATGTTTTTGCTTTGTTTTCTTTTTTACTTATGGAAAATTAATAAAAAATTATTTAAAAAAAAAAGATTTATACTTCTTTTAAAAAATAAGGTAAACAGCAGGTAGAAAAAATATATACTTTGTTTGCAGGCAATTTTCATGATTCCAACAAATCCACCTCCAACATTCCGGAAGCCGGAAGTCTGGTCAGACGAATTCACAGACTTTGTAAAGCAGTGTCTTGTGAAGTGTCCAGAAAAAAGAGCCACTGCCACGCAGCTGCTTCAGGTCAGTATCTGTTGGAATCTAAAGCAATAAATAAAATTATTTGTCTGTTGGAGAAATAGACAGGCAGTTTTCCTGTCTGTCCCCCGTTCCCCCCTCCATTGTAGCAGTTTTGTTGCTGATCATCTTGTGCTTCTACGTTTTAGATAGTAGAGTTGGATTGCGGTGCTTAAAGAATAAAGTATGTTGCTGCGACGCGGGTGGCGCTGTGGGTAAAACCTCAGCGCCTAGGACTTGCCGATCGCATGGTCGGCGGTTCGAATCCCCGCGGCGGGGTGAGCTCCCGTCGTTCGGTCCCAGCTCCTGCCCACCTAGCAGTTCGAAAGCACCCTTAAGTGCAAGTAGATAAATAGGTACCGCTTTATAGCGGGAAGGTAAACTGCGTTCCCTGTGCTGCTCTGGTGCCGGTTCGCCAGAGCAGCTTCGTCACGCTGGCTCCCGGCCTCTAGAGTGAGATGAGCGCACAACCCTAGAGTCTGTCAAGACTGGCCTGTACGGGCAGGGGTACCTTTACCTTACTTTACTATGTTCCTGCCTGGTGGGGGTTATCAGTAGGCAAAGTGAACACTGATCAGGAATGCTTTGGGTATAGGATACTGTTTCTTGGGCAGGGGATTGGATTATATTTGATTCCTTATACCTCTGTGCTTGGTGATTGTGCAGCTGCTTTGTAAATATCAGGTCCTATGCATATTTACTCAGAAGCAACTCAGTTCATTGAGGCTTGCTCCCAAATTAACATTCAGGAAATTCCTATTTCCATAGTCAGGGGAGGCTTTGTGGAATCTTCTATATCTTAGCTGTCTGAACAATATGTACAGTTGCTGATAAAAAATGTGTATAGATCAGAACTAACATGCATACTTTCATATTCATATTAATTGCTACTTTCCACCCATTTGCAAAATTAGGCAGATCATTTGGCATTAGTAGTCCTTTTTGTGTCCTAAGCTATTGAAGTATTTAAACATAACATAGTAGAAATGCGTCTGCCTTGCAGATTGCATTGTTTGGGCAGGGCTGCCATGCTTGAATAAACTTGCATTACAAAATCAACAGAATTAAAGGGATTAACATAGCTCGGGGTTAAGATCTTTTGCTGCTACATGTTGTTCAAAGTTCATCGTTCTTAATGTGTCTTCTTTAGCATCCGTTTGTAAAAAATGCCAAAGGAGTTTTCATCCTACGAGACCTGATTAATGAAGCAATGGATATTAAACTGAAAATTCAGGAAGCTCAACAGCGTGAGATGTATCATGATGATGAAGAAAATTCAGTGAGTGCTAAAATTACTTAACCATTGTCCTTCCTGTAGTAGCATTGCTCTGTACCTCTCTATTAGCTGTGTTGGCTGTTCATAATTTATGTGTCAGTTTTTTAAAGTCTGCTTTCTGAAAATTTTTTGCCCAAGTCCCTCAGTAGGTCAGTGGCCTTGGAACTAACCACAGCTGGTGAAATATAGTGAGCAAGCAAGGCGACTTTGAATCTTCTTGCTTAAATGGAAAAGAAGGGCTCTTCATCAATAGCAGAGTACATGTTGTGCATGCAGAAGGGTTCCAGGTTCAATACCTGTTATGCTCAGGTTAGCAGAGTTGGGGCTCAACTTTGGCAGGTGGGCGGGGTCAGGTCTGTCATCTGATGTCAGAGAGGTCAGGTGATTGACAGGTTGGTTGCCTCCTGCCAGTCAGAGTTCAGCTGCACAATCAGCTGATCCAGTCACAACTTTACCAGCCCCATACCTGACATCACACATGACAGTTGGAGTGGGGCAGGTGGGTGTGGTTTTGGGGAAATTGCCTCATGGGCCAAATGGGGGAAACCTAGGTCACATTTGGCATGTGGGACATTTTCTATCCTTGAAATATAAGGATCCTGGATGGCAGGGCTAGGAAAGCCCTTCTGCCTAAGACTCTGGAGAGCTACAGAAATGACCTTAAATTGCCCAAGTGGGTCAGAGTTGGGACCAGATGTAACCAGAGGAATAAACAGCTTTTTCAAAGGATATCAGAATGCACCAGCAGAAAACCAGTAAACACATTTTCCAAATAAGCCACCCTTTACCTGGTGGTTTCCAGATGCTTTGGGAAATAGCTCTGTAAAAATGCATAAACTGGAAATGCATGTTCTGCAAAAGCAGAGGAGAGACCTTTTGAATTTCTCTCTTGGGTATGGAAGAGGAAGAGAGGAAAGTGAGCTTGCTGTAGCTTATTCGGGCTTGTTCACTTCACATTAAACTATTTTTTTATTATGGAAGTAATATGCAATCTTCTTGCAATATAGAAAAAACAGCAAGACTCTAAAAACAAAGGAAGTAGAAAACAGCCATCAAGGCTGTTATATACAGCTAAAAGTGTAGTGAAATACAGTTAGACCTCAAATTATGTGGGGGCTACATTCTGGGGATCGCGCCTAAAGCCAAAATCACTTGTAGTCAAAACACATTGGGTTCAATGCTGGGTTGGATTGCCAAAGTCTTTTTTTCCTGGACATTTGGGAGCCACTGTTCTAGATGATACGTGTTGGCAAATTAAAAACATGCATCTGTTTAGAATCTCCGACTTCAAAGTTAAGAGACAGTTTTGAACAAAAATAAGCGTAATATTATGCATAATTATTATTAACACTTCAACCCTGTCCTTCCTCCAAGGAACCTGACACAGCATTCAAGGCTACTTTGTGGAAGGATTGCATAAGTTCAGGACTTCATCAAGTAATTTCACAGTTTTGTGTGGTGCTTCCTCTGCCAAAATGCTATCCTCTATTGTAATCAGTATTTTGAAGGGAAACTTAAAATATTTATTACAGGAAAGTGGAATCTCAGCATTACGATCTGTTGCTAAATTATGTAACATTTGTTTGCACTAATAATTTTACTTCAACTTCTAAAATTTCTGCAATTAACTTTTTTTTTGCAAAGCTTTTTAACATTACTGTGTTGTTGCTGGTAATGTATGACTTGACTAAATAGCAGATTTCGATCTTCAAAGCTGTCTGTCCAATATTTGCTGTCCATTGAAAAGAAACTGTTACTAACTGATAACGAACTACAATCAGATATGTAAACTAACATTACACACTCCTTTCATTTCTAATTGCATTGTCTTGGAGAAATACTGATACCTTGCTTAGTCTGATTCAAATTTTTATCTCTTGCATCTCTATTTAGGAAGAAGATGAAACTGACGCTAGGACCATGGTGCGGGCACAGGGACAAGAGACTGGTACAATCAGAGCTGCTTGTGGAATGAGTGATGGCATCAACACCATGATAGAATACAATGACACGTTAGAGTCACAACTGGGAACAATGGTCATAAATGCTGAAGATGAAGAAGATGAGGGTACAATGAAGAGTAAGTCCATTTTTCATTATAATAAAGTGCAGTCTTTTAACTTTAAAGCAGGGACAGCCAATGTGATACCCGTCTCATGCCAGAGGCCACAGGGAACAAATTTTTGAATGGGTGTTTTGGAGAATTTTTCTCAGTTTGGAAACCTTTAGCTGAGATCAGGCTCTTTCACATTTAGATTTTACTCATATTGGGGGTTGTTGTTGATGGCACACACACTCTTCCTCCAGAACTTACAAGGCAGTGGCAAAGTGTGGGGCGGTCTCTGGAACATGCACCATCCAAGGTTTCAAGAAGTTCTTTCCGGTACAATTGAGGAAGGGAGTTGGTAAGAGGAGTGTTCAGACCCTATTGTGCTCCTGACGACATCATTGGGAGCATCATAGGGTTTCTGAGCTGATGTTAATGAGAAATGGTATGTAAATAGAACGTAGGTGAAGGACTGAGCAGAGAAGCCATAAACCTTCTTGTGGAATGACATAGGTCCAGGTGCTTTATCTCGAAGTGCTTATCGCAAGAAACTGGTGGAAGGAGGGAGAGGGAAGGCTGAAAACCTTGAAGCCATGACATGTGCTTAAGCAGCAGAAGTCAGAAGCTTTCCCAAATATGGATGGGATCATGATTTGTGTATTAGTAGAAATAGGTGCACGGTTCAAATGTTGGCACACCATTTGCCCACTTCCATGGTGGGGCCATCCTGGTTGACTGACACTGGAGCCTGGATTCTTGACTGGCTGCTTAGGCTACCCTAGGCATGGGGGAATTTAACCCCAGTATATCCTGGAGACTAACATTCTTGGAAACCATTTCCTAATTCTTGGGGAAACTGCTTGGCAAACTCTTCTCAGAGTTGAAAAGCGGGGAGCTTGCCCATTACATTTGCCACAGGGGGGAAATGTTCTATTGAAACTAAGGGGACTTTGCAAAGCCATTTGTGACGTGGCGTTAGAGGGGAAAGTGGCATGTCCAAGCCCTTGGGTTGCCTAACCATGTCTTAAATCTCAGGTGATAAATATTCTTCCATACGGGATAAAAAGCTTAAATTGTGATCCACTGTTCTGATGCGTTGTGAGTGGCAGGAGGCTGGGCAGGATGGAAAAGAGAAAATGAACTTTGTTGGGCTATGTACTAAGAAGAAGCCTCTTCCTGTAAATGGAAAAGGGAAGTGTTTTGCATTAATAGAATCAGTCGCATGAAATGATGCAAGAACACAAATTGCTTTGGATATAATGTCTATGTGGCCTAGCTAATCTTGAGTCAGCAGGTGCCTGGTGTTTGAGGGAATTCAGAGGATGGTTGTTGAATCTATATGGGCCATACAGACGTTTGTGATTATGATATGCCAGTTGGTTTCATGTTAGAGTAATAATGAGAGTGCAGGCTGCTGCTGTTCTGACATACTGTTGGTTTTCCTAGTTTGCATTCACTCATATACTTGAATTACTAGTAATTGCTACTTTGGCATGGCATCCTTATAATCAAGGATTGTTCTTTCAATCAAAAACAAGTTTGACTTGTTTGTAACATAAAGCAAGCTAGCTGTGATACCTGCTTGCTATGATGTGATCAGTGAAAACTGACCTCTGTGAATCTAAGAAAATAATGTTTTAAAAATGTATTTTTCATTTGTGTTCTTTGAATTTGGGCTGAGTCTGCTTCATTGTTAGGCTATGATATTACAGCATGGTCTACATCCAGGTGTAGGTTATAGAAAATGAAAGTTCAGCGGTCTATTTTTGTCTCATTGTGGTTCTTCATTCTCCTGAAAAATGCTCCTTTCCACCACTGGAGGGAGCATAACATGAGAAATGAAAATTTTATAGAATTGCACAGTTGGAAGGGACCACAAGGTTATTCAACTGAACAGTGTTTTGCAAAAACCATTTTATTTAGTACATGCAGTATACACTGCAGTCTCTCTCTACCTTCTGTGGTAGTCAGGTCCTGTAAGTAGAAAGCAGATGTTTCCATTTAGCTGTAGTCTCTAAAACCTATGTTAAAGCACACAGATAAGTGCAGTTATGCTGGGGCTGTGGAGCAAAGTGGGACAGTTGATACCACCAACTTGTGTTTCTTAAATAGCTTTATGCTAACAATATTAATAAACTAAGTATGCTGTGTTATAGCCTATACTTAAGCTTAGACCACACATGAGGTGCTAGAATGCTTTTCGCTACTTCAGGCTTCAATTGGTGGGTACTGTGTTTTTAATGTTCCTCCTTCACAAATGCCCAGCAAAATTAAGCAAGCAAGCAACACTCCCCCTCAAAAGCAGATAAGAAACGTTCTAGCCTACCTACTTGCAGGATATATTTTTAAGCATAAGCATACATTTAAAATTTCCCTTTCCCTTGCTTGCCATTAGTCCGTTCTACTACTTTGTGATTCAATCATTCCCACAGTCTTATTTTATATAATGTTTGCCAAAAGCAAACATTCTCAGAAAAACCCCACCCCACCCCACCTTCCCACTGTATATAAGGGTCTGGTGACTTCTGTTTCAGCTTATACCTAAAATAAACTTAGTTGGTCTCTAAGATGCTACTGGATTCTTTTAATTTTTTATTTTGACTGCGCCAGACCAACACAGCTACCTTCCTGAATCTGAACATTTAAACTACATACTACAGAGCAAAGGGGGCAGTTAAGTGTTGCGGGGAGGCTCAGAGGATTCATGGGTGCCAGGGGGAAGCCTCAGGGACACCCATTACGTCCATGAATGCCATTTTGGTGACCCTAGACATATAGGATGTCTATCCTATAACACTTCTAAATGCTGCAGGTAGGTTGGTGTGGGGTTTAGTATGGAGTTTAAAATGCTGCCTCTTAGTCTGATTTGCTGTTTTAAGCTGCATGTGAGCCAATTGTATTGGGTTGTGAATTTTAATGCAGCAGTTTTAAGTTTGTGTTTAATACCTGAGATTGAAAACTTTGCAAAAACAAAAGCAACCTATGAAAAAATGTTCTTGATGGAACATATTGTTAAAGTGCACGACATTGACAACATTTAACCAAAAGAGGGTGCTCTTTCACAGCTTATAATGGAAAACTTGAGTTGTGAAAAGGTAGGGTGTTCTTCTTTCACCTGAACACTTGTTTTCTCCCTTAGCAATGTTGATAAGGAATATTAAAGACACTGAGGTCCAGCGCCAAGGGCCTTCTGGCGGTTCCCTCATTGTGAGAAGCAAAGTTACTGGGAACCAGGCAGAGGGCCTTTTCGGTAGTGGCGCCTGCCCTGTGGAATGCCCTCCCATCAGATGTCAAAGAAATAAACAACTATCTGACTTTTAGAAGACATCTGTTTAGGGAAGTTTTTAATATTTGATGAATTATTGTTTTTTAATATTTTGTTGGAAGCCAACAAGTGGCTGGGGAAACCCAGCCAGATGGGCAGGGTATAAATAATATATTATTATTATTATTATTATTATTATTATTATTATTATTTATTATTACAGTACAGTATCTTCTCATGAGGGCCACTTCACACATCTGAGAGTGCCCATAAAATATGTGTGAATTGGACTCCTCTGGAAATGGGTGTATCCTACAGCCACACTTCAGGTAACTTCTTCTGCGGGTTCCTGTTGAGCACCCACTTGTTGGCTAACCTGGATTAGCTGCCATGTAGTGTGTGGATTGGCTCTAAGAAATTCAACAGGCAGGTAAATGTTCACTATACAGTTACTGTACATGGGTTCATCTAGCTAGCCTATATGAAATGATGTTGTCACTTGATATTTTGTAGTCTGCCTCCTGTCGCTTTAAAACAACACCAAGTGGAGATGTTACAAGTCATTGCCCAGCTTTACCAAACATGCAGGAAGGAATGGAACCTGCAGAAACAAAAACGTTGCCATGCAGGTAGATCTTGTTCAGGGTTCTGGCCAGTGCGCCAGAGGTGCTATCTTCTAGGATAGGCAATCCGCCCTTGAGTCAGGAAGTCAGTCTTCCATGCTTCTTTAGGGTTTCTTTCTTGTATAGGCAACCCCTGTTTTAGGTTTCTTGTATAGGCAACCCCTGTTTTAGGCGCGACGGATATGTGCACAATCGCTCACATGCGCACAGTGCCGAACCCAGAAGTGACGTCAGCTCTGTTTTTTCAGGACTCATGCAAGGTCCATCAAAGCCAATCAGAAGTGGTAAGAATACCTGTGTCACTATGTCTGCTGTAATGCAGACATTACATTCTTCCTGGATTCAGAGGTGCAGAGTGGAGCTGGCTCCATTTACACAGGCTGTTAGAACTATAATGCATACCTGTGCACACCTGAGTCTCCCTCAATATGTGAAATGCTGGGAAAATAAAAGCCTTGTGAGCTGTTACTACCCCAGCAAGGAGTAGTAGTAAGAATGGGAGACAAAGAGCCCACTCATCGACCCACACAGAGTGCAGAGGGACCTATAGGCTAGGGAAATATGGAACTGAGGGAGTAACAGATGGGAGTTGTGATTATGTGCAGAGAAGCAGAGATGTTACTGCTCTGGTGTGCAAAGGGAATGGTTTAACAACGTGAGTTAAAGAGGGCACCATCTTCTCTGAGAAGCATTGCTGTGAATTCTTTAAGCTGGAAATGCTTTGGGTGGAACCCTGAAGCTCTTGTATGTAAAGTGTGCTTTGCCACTGACTTGGTTGTAGCCCTTTCCATCACAACTGTTCCAACAAAACAGTCTGGTGAACGTTCCTTATTAAAATTGCTTTAAAACAGCTTTGGGCTCGTACTCTAGCCTCGCACAGCTTGTTACCTTTGCCGTATTAATTTTTCCTGGTATAATTGTTTCTTGGCAAGGTGACCTGTGCCATATTCAGTCTGCGGAGTCTGTATGTGCTATGCCCCACTAAATTGCTTCAAGTGCTCTGTTTTTCACCTTATCACTCCTACAGTAATGTTCCTTTCACATTCAGTTAAATTGATTTAGCTGTAAAAATTCATCAGCCTTGTGTAACAGTCTTTTGGGGAAATAGTTTTTAATAATCAGTATAACTAAATGGTATTTTAAAT